CAGGCTGTTGAAAAAATTCTTTTGATCTCATTCAGTTTTCAGGATATGCTAAATTTCGGTTTCATCCTACAGAAAGAAAATGGTAATATTAACTATTTCCTTATAAGAAATTATTCGGCATTCATTGACTGAGCAGCTGATGCTACCGTCGAAAAGGACTGTTCAAGCTTCAGGCCCCTCCCCGCCAAAAATGTAGGTACACCACTGAACCGGAGTGTCACAACACCCTGCTCTGTCACAGACAACTGTTAGCGGGTGGCGTGAGGTTTAATAAAAGCGATCAAAAGACAAAGTCAGTATCCAACAAATAAATAAATAAAAAAAGGGAATAGTTCAGAAAGAGAGTAAAAACTCACTATGCAGAAAATATTATAAATTAAAAAAAAATCAGTATCTGTCTATATTTCTGAGATGTGGTATTATGTACACTATTTACATTATTCGGACTATTGTCCTCATCTTTGTTGCCATATTTATTACAACGTTTCGGCCGTTGTACGCTTCGGTCGCCGAACTGAACCCTTTATTTCGCTCGCTGGAGTAGACTGTTCTAGTTCCACGTTCCATGTCTAATGGATGTCAGTTATCCGTTATCTCCTGTTAAATCACCTCTCCAAGTTCTCCACTGCCTTAACAAGGTATCGAACTCAAACTGTCACTGTATCTAACCAACGCCTTTATCCACTGTGCCATATGTCCTGTAAAGGCGTTGGTTAAATCCAGTGACAGGATCCAAAGAGTTGGCGAGAGAATGAATGAGCAAACAATCCTTCACGTGCTCTTAACGAGAAATAAAACAACATCGTCGAGCAAATTTGAATACTATTTAAAAACAACCAATTCCAGCAATTAAGTAAAAGAGAATAGGTGATTTTTTTTTTTGGTGGGGGGTTAACAGTAAGGTTCACTCTGTACAAGGCTTCGAGGTAACTCGACGTAGAGGATTACGTTAGGGAGTAGTTTATATGGATAGGAAGGGAAGATAACGGTTGATTCTAGAGTTGAACAAGTTTAGATTGTAGTGATCGGAGAAACATCCTCTTGGGAGTCTGTTCCACAGGGCAGTAGTTCGCGGAAAAAAAGCTGTTTGAGTAGAACTTACATCTCACCGTTGGAATACGGAGGGAACGATGGTGATTTGTTACTATGTAAGTGGCATGTTCTCTCAGAATGTTTAAAGAGAGTTCGTAAAGAGTCAAAAAAACAAATTTTTGGTAAATCAAATGTCCGTGCATGTACGGATGTGTGACTATGCACGTGTATGTATGGACAGGAGTTTCTTTTCCTGAGATCGACGTAGTTAGATGTTTGAGCAAGTATTTTATTTCGCTTAGGTCGATTTCTCTGTATGGCCAGTGAGTGCCCGAATGAGAAAGGCTTTCTTTAGCGCGGAGTGAAAGCGCCATACGCTTTTCCGTGTTTGCTTGCTGTGGGTACCCTTTTGTACGCTTGATGTGAGTTCGCTTGTGTGTGCTCCTGTGAGTCGTCTGTGTGGCTTTTAATCCATTTTTTATATAGGCGGGGTGGTAAACTCTAAACTAAAGTCAAAATTTAATATTATTTGTCGTGCTCCAGTTGGTTGAGAAGAGTCACGTGGTATGCTTACTTCGACATTCACGTGTTGGCAACATCATGTTTGATTTTACGTGTCTATTTTAAATTTGATGCAATTGCAGTTGAAGAGAGGAATTGCATATTCATTTTTATTTATTTATTTATGCTTTATTTTCAAATTCCAGGCACAGTATATTTTTTATAATTATTCTATTTTCTCGTTATCCTTTTTTTAAGCAATTCACCTCAAGCAAGGCTATAATGCATTTAAAACGCAAGGGGCTACTTGGAGGGAAAAAGAATGAATAAACTTTAAACCGGAAACCTAATTCTAAACAGGAAATAGGGGATAAACTTCTTGTTAGTCACTTAGTGCGTCTAATAACTAATAGCTAATTTACCAGAAGAAACAACTCGATAACTATTAGCGGCAGTACATTTGTTTATTTGCAATATATTGGACAAACCTCCACCAAAACATGGTTTCATTTAACCTTTTCTGCCTGCCATTGGTTGACGCTAGACTTCAGGAGAGCAAATCATTTTGCCTTCTTGGCTTCGCGTTTTCCACTGACGTGAGGTGCAGCGACTACACAGAATCAATAGTTGCATATACTGCAAGGAAAGTTGGGTCACTCTGTTGCAAATCCACCATTTGACCGTACATTGAATACTGTTGCTATATCTGGTCTGATGTTCCTGCTGTAGATCTTGAGATTCTTGACAAAATCCAAAGAAGGATATGTAATGTAATGTAAGCGATCCTCACCAGGTACCTCGACTTCAGTTACTTTCTCACCGACGTGACATGGCTTCCGTCTGTTTTTACAAATATGCCCTGACTACATGAATTTAAGCACTTTCTACCTGTGGAACTCACTTCCGTTTACTTGCTTCCTTGATAATTATAATCTTCAAAAATTTAAATGCCAATGTCAATCACCATCTTCTGTCTTCTTGAACCTCGTTCATCTTTTGTTCTTTCCTCAATCCTCCCTATTCTCAGTTTTCTCTTTCACTTTCACACCCTGTAACCCCCCCCTGCGTACTAGTGGCATTACTTGGGGTAAAATAATTAAAAAATTAGATTTTTTTCTTAATTTAAACTAAGAAGAATAAAAAAATATTTCTAATAATACATACATTTTGCGGCCTCAGCCGAGATTGAACTCACTACACCTTTCCAGTATTCCTTTATCTGTCATAGCTAATACTTTGATTGGTGTAGTTCGTAATCTTGTCAACTAGCTGAATTCTTGATGCTTCGCTAGGGCTATCAAGGGTGTTTTTATCGTGACACCATCACTAAATGGATTGCCAACCAAGGCTCAGAGAGACTCCATTCACCCTCCGCGGGTTTTGAATTCAGAGATTTCCTTCTCCTAGACCAGTTGCCATCCATAGCTATAGAACCCAGTCTGTCCTGCTATTTACCCATAGCTGGAGGGAGAAGAAGAGGATTCACACCTTTCCCAAGGGTATTAGCACGTAACTGAATGTAATGGATTCGACTGGAATTCGAAATCGGCTCTCCGATTCCTCAATCCAAGCCGCTATCCATTACTCCACCGTGCCTCCTCAAATAATAATAATACACAATAATGATAATAATGCATTGTGTTGGTAGAAAATTTTGATTTGTTAAAAATATATAAAAATCGAAAAAGTGCCTTTTTAAAATATTCTTTCTATCTATCATTTTACGGAGAGTGATTATCTTTTTTTTTTTTTTTATCTTTGTTCTTCCTCTTTCTGGTTTTATATCTTTTATATATATTTATATATACTTTTAAGAAATTCGTTTTTAATCCTTTAAAAATAAAAATAATAATCTGGAGACATATTTTGCCTTCTGATGTGTAGATGAAATAAGCTTTTGAACAAAGATTAGCAAAAGAAGAAAAAAAGGAATATACATAGACCACACCCTCAAATATTGTTATTAATAATATAGTAAAGTAATACATAGTCTTTGGGTGTGTTTATATGAAATTGGCTTTATGGTAAAGGGCTGTAAAGGAAACATTTCAAACACCCTAATAATTAATAATAATACTAATACTACTACTAATAATAATGTGGCGTGACAGATAGTCTTTGGAGGTGTGCATGAAATAAAGTTTGGAATAAAGTCTTGTATAAAGCACAAATACTATTCTAATATATAATAATATATTAATAATAATACCACCACCATCAACAACAAAAACAGCAATAACATCAACAATAATAATAATACCAAAAATCAACAATAATAACAACAACAATAATAATATCAACAACAACAATAACAGCAATATTAATAATAATACCAACAACATCAACAGCAATAACAGAAACAATAATAATAATACCAACAATAATAACAGCAGCAATAACAACAACAATAATATCACCACCACCACCAACAGCAATAACAACAACAACAGCGATAATAATAATGATAATAATAATAATAATAATAATAATAATAATCATAATAATAATAATCATAATAATAATAATACTGCGGAATCATAGACATCCTTTGAAATAAGTCTTGAAATAATCTTTGGAGAAAAGCTCTGTAAAAACGAAAGTCCTTTTTAGACGGGTTAATTTACTTAAAAAATGAAAAGTAAAAGCTGCGTAAGTCCAACAGGAACATCTAATATCAGACAACTGCTGGTATTCCTGCACCCTACTAGATAAGAATAACAACAACATTGGTAATAATAATAATAATAATAATAATAATAATATGGATTGAGAGTGTCTCTTTAGATGTGCACATGAAATAAGATTTGGAATAAAGGGTTGTAAAAAACAAAGCTACTTTTTATGCACTCTAATATATGCCACACTACTACAAGGAGTATTAATACTACTACTAATAAAAATAATGTCATGTGTCAATTAAATAAGCTTTTTAATAAAAATTTGTAAAAAAACGGATATAAATGTACTACACCGTAATATATAATAATAATAATAATAATAATAATAATAATAATGATAATAATAATAATAATAATGTATAGTTATAGTCTGTAGACGTTTCCATTAGAGAAGCTTTGGAATAAAGGTCTGTAAAAATATTTAAATGTTAAACCCTATTCGAAAGAATTATGATGATGCTACAATGCCTGTCATTGCATTAAGATGCACTAATAATTTTAACATTATTTGGCTGATAGGAAACACTCGACTACTATCGTTCATTACCGTCTGCATTTACAGCTGCCCTAGCCACCGACGCTGCATCTGCTTGCTCGTCATCGATCTTTTCATGAGTTAGGCTTTGGAAGAAGGCGAGGTGGTACACACGAGTGTATGTGCACGAAGCGCGAGTAGGCCTCCATCATGTGTGGAATGCGCGTGCGTGCTTCTTGGCGATCCTGATCTCTGCAGTCGATACAAGGTGCTATGGAACAGCTGCACACACAGCACAAGCAGAGTTGTCCCTGATGATTGTCTGCCTCCTTTTTAGCTTGCCAAGATTTACTCCACTCCATGATGTCATTTCTTTAGTTTTGAAGCTTTGTGGTCAAGGATGCAGTAGTCGGTGCAGTAAGAGATACAGCGAGATGTGAAGCGAATATAGAACAAGTAATTTATATCACTGACGCATAGTATATTTTAAAACCACCAGAAGCTGTAAGAGGATTAATTCGAAACTATAGTCTCCAATCCTATAAGTTTTAGCCAAAATTATGACATTGGTATCAATGTGCGATAAATTTATTTTCCTTTAAAATGACGAGGCTTCATTGATAAGTAAGGCCTCCAATCTTAATACAAGATTTAAACGACAAAATAAGGACATTGGTATGAATCTGCGATAAATTTATTTTCCTTTAAAATGACGAGTCTTCATTGATAAGTAAGGCCTCCAATCTTAATACAAGATTTAAACGACAAAATAAGGACATTGGTATGAATCTGCGATAAATTTATTTTCCTTTAAAATGACGAGTCTTCATTGATAAGTAAGGTCTTCATTCTTAATACAAGTTTTAGACAAAACACAAAATAATGGCAATGTTATCAAAATGCGTAAGTGTATTTTTCTTTCAAATACCGATTGGTGATTGATACGTAAGGTCTTCATTCTTAATACAAGTTTTAGAGAAGATAAAATAATGTCACTGGTATCAAAATGATTTTTTTTTCTCAAGGAAATGCCGTGGATTAATTGATAAGGAAGATCTCCAATCTTGTAATACAAGGTTTTAAAATAATAACACCCGCATCAAAATGAAGTCAATCTTTTAACCTTTAAATTAAGGGAGTCGCTAAATGAATAAAATCTCCAATACTGTAAAACAGATTGGGGATCCGAAAAAATAATGAAGCAAGTATAAAAAGAAAGCAAATTTATTTTTCTTAAAAATGACGGGAGTTGATTGATAAGTGGGGTCTGCAATGATAGAGTAGTTTTACACTATGGAGAATCATGAAATTAGTGTCAAAATTAGGTAAACCTATTTCTTTTAAAAACAATCAAGCCTATTATTCTGCTTGTTCTTTTCGTTCTTTCCTCCTCAAATGGGATCAAAACTATGAAATTTTAAAAATAGGCTTTTACAGTAAAAATACCAGTAATACATTTTTGAAAATATATTTGACTCTTGGTAAAATGCCTCTTGACGTCAGTGAAACCTGATCAACAAAATGATTTCTTACAAAGAATACATATTCTATTCATACATACCTATTCTAAAAATCTCGTCGACATTAAATAACGCATTGAAGTTGATATGCCGTAGACAATATAAACAAAACAAAACCAACACTTAACTTTTTGTCTTTTTTGTCGTCTCTCCCAAATCCGGCTCCGCCATCCATTTGCTCAAGCTCGCCAGGTAGGCTGAGTGTTGCTTTTCTCTTCTTCTGGCCCTCTTACCTTCAATCTTTTTTGTGAGTATCAAGTTTTCCAAACCCTCTTTCCTCATTATGTACACCAGAAATTTCAACTCTCGATTCCTGATTTTAAGTGTAAGTGTCCATTTTGTTGCCATTGTCTCTAGAACTTCGTCGTTGATGACATGCTCGGTACTTGTTAGTATCAACATCTTTCAGTAAAATCACATTTCTGTTGCTTCATCTTTGAAGAAAATGGTCCAGCATTCACTGTAATATAGGAAGTTCAGTAACATAACGGTTCAGTAATATTTTCTTTGTTTCTTACGAGGGTTTTCTGCTTCTTAATACTTTGCTTAGCTTCTGAAAGTCATATTTCGCTATTTCAATACGCCTGTAATAGGTTTGATAGTATGTGTTGTTAAATGTAAGTTAAATACTTTAAGCTCAGTAAATATATCCTTTGGTTGCTTAAAGTTTGGTAATTGTTAGCGATTAAGGCTTGTTAATCATTACCAATGAGTAGTAAATTCGATGTGTGCCCCATACTTGTTGCATTGAGCCAAGACTAAGACAAACTTAGACGGCAATCATGACTCGTCACAATTTCCTATCCTTTATAGCTCTTTAACCACTGCACTGCCATTCATTTGCTACAAGCTCGCCACGTAGGTTGTACGTTTGTTTCCTCTTCTTTCGGCTCCCTTACTTTCAATCTTTCTTGTGTGTATCAAATTTTCCAAGCATTCTTTCTTCATTATGTACCCCAGAAATTTCAAGTGTCTGTTACTGCTGTTAAGTAAAAGTGTCCTTTTTTGTTAATGAACATCGTCGTTCCTCACGATCCATTGCATTCTCAGAATCCTTCTGATATATAAATAAATTCAAATAGAAAAAAAAAAAACAATCTCCATGATTACTACTCATAAATTTAAATTGTCAGCATATTCCGCATATCATTCCCTGAACTCTATCTATTTTGAATTTCGTCTGTGAAGAAAGAAAATTTCTGGTTTAATTTTAGTTCAATTGCACCTAGTAACGTCAACTTCGGCATAGAATGAAAAACGTTGACTTCAACGCCCCTTTCCATTTCGAGAAATGACCAGGTGTTTCTTGGAGAAATCTAGCTCAGTGTATAAAAGCATTGGTTAAAGCATCGCTGGTTACTTGGCAGTTGTGAGTTCAATCCCTGGGTATGGTAGTGTTGAAAATTCATATTACTCTGGTTTAGTAGAAGAAACATACAAAGGGAATTAAGTGAATATGACTTGTAAAGTAGAACCGATATGATATATACCATAAATATTGAAAATTGTTCCCTCAGGAAGACCCCCGTGTCTTGAGCACCTATTTGGATCCAGACCTCAAGTAGAACTTGTACATCGCTGAAGGTGCTGCGAAAATAATTAGTTTCCTGTAACTCACCAACAAGTACCTGATATCCGCTACCTTTTCAAGAGCCTTATCAAGGCTGTTATACTGCCATATCTTGGCAGGAGTTGCACATTCTTCAATTTCCATTCTTGATAAAATCCAAAGGAGTCTCGGCTGATGAATTATTTTCTACAAATTATTTCTTATAGGCGAAATGGCACAAGTCTCTCGCTCCTTTATCGCTATTTCTATAGAATGTATTCAAATGAACTAAATTCCTTTGTTGCAGCAGTTCTGACCTTCACGACTAAGACCCACCAAGCCACGCCCATTGTAGTGAACCACCGTCATTCCCTTCATATTCCATTGATGAAATGTAATTTCCACTCGAGCAGCTTCTTTCCATCAACCGTTGTTTTGTGAAACCTACTCTTCAAGAGGGGATGCTTCCCCGATCACTACACTCTTAACTTTTTCAAGTCTAGGGTTAACCGTCATCTTCCTCATGTATCTCCATAAACTGTGCCTCTTACATTGTAAAACTCTACATCGAGTGGCACTTGAGCCTTGTATAGAGTGAACGTCATTGTAAAAAAGAAAGAAAAAAAAGGAATAAACAATCCGTAAGCATTACATAAAAGGCGTACTACGGCAGACCACTGAAGAAGAACAGAAGGGATAATTATTGAAACGTTGTCAGCATAACAACATTTTGATGAACATGGTGGTTCAAATAACAAAACATATATTAAACAAAATAATTCACCTGGCCAAATTTCTTAGATTTTTCATTTCTTCCATTAAAAAAATATAGGTGCTGTGCCCCTTCGAGACATGGACAAGCATGGCTCTCCAAAACTTCATGTCCTTTGTAAGTGTCATATAGGACATAAATGAATGGAATCGTCCGTTTATGTAAATAAGTGGAATTAAATGTTGAGGACGGTTAGCATTATGGCAGTAGCTAAGAGTACCTTCGTGTAGTAAACCTTCTATTTCATTACTTACCTACGAGTTTGTCTTATTTATTTCCCTCTGTTATCTCGAAAACACAAGATGCAACAGATAGATAGATAGATAGATAATGAACAGACATAGATAGATAGATAGATAGATAGATGAGGAGGGTTAGCATTAGGTAGATTGCTAAGTGTGCCTTCATGTAGTAAAACTTCTATTTCATTACTTAACTACGAGTTTGTCTTCCTTATTTATTTCCCTTTGTTATCTCGAAAACACGAGATACAACATGTTTTTTTTTTTTTTTTTTGCATGTTTGCAATGTTTGTCCCCTTGCTGTCCCTCACACTTTTTGTTGTATCACCCATTTTTACAAACTTGTTATGTACGTTACTGGCTGCTTTTGTCTGTCCCAATTACCTTCCCTGTCAATCGTAAGTATGAAATCTCCAAGATTTCTTTTCTTCATTATATATTTTCAGATATTTCAACTTTCTGATTCTGACAAGTGTTCATTTTGTTCCCATTTACCTCAAAACTTCCTAATTTCTCCTATGTTCCGTACATGATATTCTTAGCGTTTCTGTTGCCTCAACCACCTGTGATGAAATTGAACGACATTTACTATCATAAAGAGGCATACATAGCACATCGCAATTCAGCGCCCTTTTCTTTGTTTCTGATGAAGTTTTCCAATCACTTAATACATTAATAATCTTTTAAATTAATTACATTGTTCCGGCTGTTATTCTCATCTTTATTGCCATAATCACGACGTTTCGACCGTTGTAAGCTCTCGCTTTCTTCAGTTGATTGGAATTTCAAACTGAAACATTTATATCGTCCACCGGGTTAGATTGCTCTTCCGGCTGTCTCAGTTATCTCCCTTTAACTCAACTTTCCGTCACTGCAGTAGCTAGGTATTGAACTCACAACTCTTTGTGTCAAGTCACTGGATCCAACCATTGCTTTTATCCACTGGGCCATGTGTCTTTGAAGAAATTCCAATATCCTGAAGAAGGTCAGAGCGTTGTGTACAACGGCCAAAAGGTCATGAATATGACAATAAAGATGAGAACAACAGTTCGAACAATGTATATGATGTAAATAATTACAATACCTCAGTTCAGAAATATAGACAGACATCAATAATCTTTCGCTATTTCCATGCACCTTCAGATAAACTTTTTTATACACCTTCAGATGTTCCGTCGCCTGTTAAATCAATCCCCAGATATTTAAACATCTCTATTTATTTGAATTCTGACTCTGCCAATTCATATCTCGTATCTTGGACTGTCTCTCTTGCTAACAGACTTACATGGGCAAAACATGGGCAGCAGCAGATGCAACCTAATCAGCAGCCAAGTTAAGTTTAAGACTCTAATTTTACTACAGCAAATTGTCCTACGTGAGCTAGTGGATAAAGGTGTTGGCTATTGAATTGATGACATAGTGGTTGGGAAGTGTGGGTCTGGACATGTGTACTTTCACTCAAATTTGTACTAAAATAAACAGTACTAAATAAAATAAGTAATGGATGATATCCGTACACATAAGCACAGGAATGGGAACAGTCTACACCCATAGATTAAACAGCTGAAACGTTGGGATAACAACAACAATGATGAGGACAATAGTCCGAATATAAATAATGTAAATAATGACTGATATTCTATCTTCTTAGAATTTATAGTTAGTCTTTTATTCTTGCTTTCCTTTAGTAAATTTTCTGGGAGTTCGATCTTTTTTCTGTGACATCTAAGTCATTATTTACATTATTTATATTCGGACTATTGTCCTCATCATTGTTGTTGTTAGCCCAACGTTTCAGCTGTTTAATTTATGGGTGTAGACTGTTCCCGTTCCACTGATACGGTGGAGTAATGGACAGCGGATTGAGAAATCGGAGAGCCGAGTTCGAATTCCAGTCGAATCCATTACATTCACTTACGTGCTAATACCGTTGGGAAAGGTATGAATCCTCTTTTTCTCTCCCCAGCTATGGGTAAATAGTAGGACAGACCAGGTTCTCTAGTCTTGGATGGCAACTGGTTTACCGCAGAAAAAAATGGTAACCTACTTCGGGAAAAAATCTACCTCGTCAGTCATGTATCGAAAGATACATGATCGTCTAAGTGTGTATCACGCATGGCACATAATTGACTGTGTCATCTAATAATAACTCGTAATGGTAGAAGTTGTAGATTTCTCTTATGATCACTTCACTTTATAGGTTAAATAAATCCGGAGAGAAGACAAATCATTGTCTTACACTTTTTCTTTTCTTTTTCTTTCAATTTTTTTTTTTTCATATTTTATTATCTGTCTTTTTCTTTGTTTGATTTTCTTTTCTCTTTCTTTCTTTTTCATCGTCATTCTTTTTCATTTCCTTCATAAAAATCCTACTTTTTAGATTTAGAAGTTATCTTTAAGGATTACATTCTCTCTTTCTCTCTAACTTTCTCTCTCTCTCTCTCTCTCTCTCTCTCTCTCTCTCTCTCTCTCTCTCTCTCTCTCTCTTTAAAATATAATTCCGGTCAGGGAATTTGTATTGATATTTCCTTTGTTTGTTCATGTCTCCGATTGTTTTGTTGCGTCTTTTCCAAAAGCGACGCTGAATATCTTATCTATCAAAAAACAATAGTAAATATTGCGTCAATAAAGCACTTCTCAGTTTTTTTTTCTTCCTTGAAATCCTATCGTAAATGTTTATTTTGCATTGGAAGATCATGTCTGCTTGAAGCAGCTTACTCTGCAAAAGTAACTTCGTTGCTCCAACGACTAAGATTTATTTTCGATTCTTCTAGAAATTTATTTACATATTGGAATGACGTCTTTTAAAAGGAAAAACGATGTTCGGATGGAGTAAGGAATAGCGTCTTGGAATTAAAACAGGGAGAGCTGGGTTCGAATTCCAAACGTGTTGCGCAACTACCCCTGGGAAAGATAAGAATCTATCTCCCCCACCCAAACTGTGGGTTAAATAATAGGACGAGTTATTCTCAAAACATTGTTAATGCAATATTCATTCGCAAACTTAGAATTATTTATACAATGCAGCAAAAGGAGACACGGTGGAGTAAGGGATAAAGGCTTGAACTGAGAAATTAGAGAGCCGAGTTCGAATTCCAGTCGAATCCATTACATTCACTTACGTGCTAATACCCTTGGGAAAGGTATGAATCCTCTTCCTCTCCCTCTAGCTATGGGTAAAATAGCAGGACAGACTGGGTTCTATAGCCTTGGATGGCAACTGGTCTAGGAGAAGGACAACTCTGAATTCAAAACATGCGGAGGGTCGTTTGGGAATCTTGTGGCACTCGGTGCCCCAGGTCTCTGTATTCGTCCCTTCAAAAAGTGTGGATGGTCCTACACGAGGCCTTCACCACGATAATCAAATCTTATGTGCCGGTGTCGAGCTGTCGGTCTCCTGGAAACTGATCTGCTTGACCCTCATACGTCGAATCTCGACGGGAGAGTCGATTATTATATATATATATATATATATATAAAAAGTGAACATTGAAGTCAACACTTAGAAGCAGGCCTGATATTGAGCATTTATCCCATAAATATAGCACACCTTAAGAGTATATTTCTTCATATATATATATATATATATATATATATATATTTATATAAAGGGGATCCCATCTAAGTTAGTTAACCTTCTTAGGTAGTTGTCTTCTTACTTCCTCAGTGTGGTAAATTGTACATGTTTCGGCTTTAAGTAACCCATAAAAGATTGATAAGTCGTAAAAAAGAAATCAATCAATCAATTAATTTGAAATGAAATAAAGAAACGTTTTTGTTTTTTAATCAAATCATCCCCATGAAGGCGATAATGCCACCAAGACGCAAGTGGTTACCGAGAGTGAAAGAGAATAAGAAAACTTTAGAAGCAACCTGAATCTCAAACCTAAACAGGGAACAAGAGATGAACAAGACTCAAAAAGGTTCTCATAGGTCCTGTTTGAACAAGGCTCAAAAAGGTTCTCATAGGTCTCGTTTAACTTAGAGAAGAATGTGGACGCAGATCGATTAAAACTAAAGTAAACAATTTACACATAAGTCTGCTTTACACTTGAATCGAAAAGTTAGACATACATTCTGTTTACACTAAAGTCAAAATGGTTGCCAGAGGTCTGTTTAGTGAAGAGCTAACAAGATAGGAATAGAAAACTTTTGCACTAGAGCAAAAAAAAAGTAGATATAAATTCAGTAAATTAGTAAGACATAGATCCGGTTTACGGTTCAAAAGATAGACAAAGGTCCAATTTACATTTGAGTCAATGATATTTACAAAAGTTTAGTCGAAAAGGTAGCTCCAAGACCGGTTTACACTAGAGTAAAAGGTACACATAGGAACATTTTCCACATGAGTCAAAAAGATCGACAGAGTTTCTCTTTACACTATGGTATAAAAAGTACATATAGGTCAAATTTATACTTTGGGTCAAAAAGGTACACATATGCCCAATTTATACTAGGGACAGAAAGGTAGACGTAGGTTTGGTTTACCTTAGAAGTAAAAAGACATTGTTCATATTTGTATCCGAATCTAAAAGTATCTATCCAGAAAGTAGCTTCTTTAGGGACAGGCCATACACTTTACACGGGATACTGTCAGCTTATTTTAAACCCACGCTGTCAGTATATAGAGATTATTGAATGTTGGTTTGATTTTCACGGCTGCCTCACACGGGAGGCTTTGTGCCAGGCTAACTTTGTATATGTACTTTTTTTTTTTTTTAAACAAAATATATTTCTCTTTAAAGAAGATGTGAATCTCCGTGTGCCATCTTATACATTTGATTTGAGATAAAACCTCATAATCAGAATTGGTTTTGAAGTACGTAGAAAAGTGTAGGTGTCTTTCGTCAAGATGTTCCAGAATCATGTTTGTGCGCGCATCTTTCAAGGATAAATTGGGAATAGCTTAACACTGAAAAGATCCAATCAGCAACAAGTCATTTGCTTAGAGACACGTTACTGCTGAGCGAAACTTGAATCAGATTCTAAGTAAATGTTAGAGAGATGGGAAATACTTTAAACAAACGACTGTTTCGTGCTTCAACGGAGGAGTAGAATAATATCCAAGAGATAATAGAAGTTGTCTTGTGAAACCCTCTGGAAATATTTCTGGCAGAGAAAAATTATTATTATTATTATTATTATTATTATTATTATTATTATTATTATTATCCACTGGTTTATTTGAATTGGTGTCACCACCTTTATTGTCATAGCGTTTTATCTGTTTCCGTCAGTTTGTATCTATTAAACTATCTACTCAGTGTATTCGTATCTATCTATCTATCTATCTATCTATCTATCTATCTATCTATCTATCTATCTATCTATCTCAGTCTATTCAGTATCTATCTATCTATCTATCTATCTATCTATCTATCTATCTATCTATCTATCTCAGTCTATTCAGTATCTATCTATCTATCTATCTATCTATCTCAGTCTATTCAGTATCTATCTATCTATCTATCTATCTATCTATCTATCTATCTCAGTCTATTCAGTATCTATCTATCTATCTATCTATGTATCTCAGTCTATTCAGTATCTATCTATCTATCTATCTATCTCAGTCTATTCAGTATCTATCTATCTATCTATCTATCTATCTATCTCAGTCTATTCAGTATCTATCTATCTATCTATCTATTATAGTATACCTACGAACGATAATGAATGTATACCCATTCACATAAATGCAGTAGTAAAGACTGTATGTTGGTCTACAGTTGAAGATGCATTGTGAAATTCACTTGACTCACTTCTAGTAATTGACTACTCCTTCTACGCGCTGCTGGCCAATCTTATATGCGTTGTTCTTGTTCTAAGTATTATCGTTCATTACCAACCTTCGTTTAATTATTCTATTCAATAACCTTCCTTAAGCTACAACACTATCTCAGAATGTTCATTATCTATCTATCTATCTATCTATCTATCTATCTATCTATCTATGCGTTTTACTTTCCCTTATTCTTTCTTTCTTTTTTATCCATCTGATACATTACGTTCATCGATAAGCAACGCAAATTTCTCTTTCTTTAAAAATGTTTTCCTTTCCTCAAAATGCTTTCTATATTTTTGGTTAAAATTTACACTATAACTCGCATGTTTTGACGACAGTTTGGCGGTAAAATAAAATGTTAAATAGTTATCGGGAAAACCGCTGGTAATTTTCAACATTATTTTAGTCGCTTAGTTTCGATTTTAATTTTAATGTCAAGGTCGACAAAATGTCTTCAGAATTATTTTTGTTTTTTTTTACAATATTTATAGATGCGTATTATGCATAGGGATAGATATATTTCTTTAATTTTGGATCATTTGTTAGGGTGCGTATAATTTATGGGTGCGTATTATTTTCGAGAAATTATGGTAATATAATAATAAATAAATCTAATAAGAAAATAATAAAATGTATGTGCTCTTAGGTTGTTTTATGTTTTTGCAAAAATGTTCAGTGAAAATGTCAGGATGCGTTTTATGACCTTAGGTCTCAGGTTGGGACCCGGATAGAAATAAGTACGAGGTGTGATCAAAAAGTATCGGAGTTGTTGCTAAGGTAACGGGGCCAAATTATGTAGAGTGAAGCCAATTGGCTCAGATTTACCTTGAACACTGTCGTGAATACTTAATAAGTTATAACATTCTCGCTCGCTGTCAGTGCTTCGAAGGAAAGTGTGTAGAGTGTGGTCGTATCGCCACACTATAGAGGTTCTATTAGTGACCATGGCTTGTGCTGCAGTTTTTGGTCAAGGATATCATTCCCCAGGTCCTACAACCAACATATTCTGACCCCTTGTGACTTTTCCTTTTCAAAAATCAAACTGCACATGAAAAGAACAAGATTTCACGACGTCGAAGAAATCCAAGAGTATTCGTCGACACGGGCTGCTCGCTATCCACACGCACAAAAAAGGAATTCCAGGAATGTTTCCATCAACGGAAAAGATGCTGGTTTTAGTGTGTGGTTTCAGATGGAGTTGACTTCCAAGTAGATTAAATACCGAATTGATATGGTCATTTTCCAAGCGTAGCTTAGATGAGGCACAAGGCCGAAATTATTTGGCACCCGGTGAAGTTCGAACTCCCTATTCAGTCGTAATTGATCCAGCGAGACAAGTTTGCTAACCATTATGCCTGGCTTTGATGTTTCATAAAGCCGAAAATATGGGCTACCCAATAGGGTTCGAACTCCCTATTCAGTCTTAATCGATCTAGCGAGACAAGCTTGCTAACAATTACACCACGTCGAAGTGCCCAAATGTCGAATTCATATGTGTTATAGCTTTTTTATAGCACCACTCCGATGCTTTTGGATCACCCTGAACAAGGCCTGGGTGCCACTCGAGGTAGAGTGTTACGTTAGGAGACAGTTTGTACGTATATGAGGGAAAGGTAACGATTTACCCTAGACTTGAACAGGTTAAGATTTTAATGATCGTGGAAACATCCTCTTGGGAGTCGGTACCACAGTGCAATGGTTCGCGAGAAGGAGCTGCTCAAGTAGAACTCACTGATAGAATACGAAGGCAATGTGGGTAGTTTGCTCCAATATAAGTGACACAGCCGGTCCTTACCGTAAAGGTTACGCCTGGGGAAGCCAAGGAATGTAGTTTGTCGGAGCTCTTTCAGAGAAATTTCAAATGTCTCTTCCTGATGTTAAGTTTAAGTGGCTCTTTTGATTCCATTTTCTCCAAAACTTCGTCGTTGTTTACGTGTTCTGTTCATGGCTTTCTCAGCATCCTTCCGTATAACTTCTGTTGTTTCAAATTTCTTTTTTTTATCCCTGAGGGAATCGTCCAGCATACACTGCCATATAGAAAGACTGATATTACATGAAATTTCAATACACTTTTCTTTGAGTCTAACGAAATTTATTTGTTTCTTAATACTTTGCTTGGCTTTGAAAGGCATCTTCCCACAAACAGGAGTAGCGATAGATTAGCAAGAGGTTTGCCGCATACCACCTGTGTGTGTGTGTGTGTGTGTGAGAGAGAGAGAGAGAGAGAGAGAGAGAGAGCGAGAGAGAGAGGTTGTAGGGTGGAAAATAATATGTCACTCACAAGGACTTGGAAACGCTTTTGGACGCTGTCTAAGCTGGAAAGTGCCGTCTGAGCAGCACGCGCCCAAATATGACAACATTCTTGGCCTGATCTTGGCTCTTGTAAAGTTAAAAGATAGCAAGAGGAGTCGAGTTCTTATTTACTGTATAAATGGCGCAGAAAATGTAACGATGTAGCAATAGTAGTTTATTTTATTACCTTTGTCCAATAATAATCGTTACGCTTACTGCACAAAATGTGTATGCAAATGTAACACTTATTCTGGGACGGAGGCAGTATTTTTTTATTGTGTATATATATATATATATATATATATATATATATATATATATATATATATATATGAAAGGACACCGTGAGGTAACACAAAACGGCTTAAATGGCGTTAACTCGAACGAAGAAATGTCATTTGAAGAAATTATGTTCAAACATACGCGAAAAGAAAGAAAGAAAGAAGCAGTCACGTATAAACGTAATTGAAAAGAAAAAATAATTTAATTATCGTTGTTATTTATACTTCTGGAAAGTTGGCCATCAAACTAAATAATGATTTGTTGTTAAACACGTGACTTGCAAACGACTGTTCAGAATTTATTGTCATGCGATTATTGTGTTCGAGTTTTTCTTTTCTTATAGATTTTCTTCGTGTGAATGACACAGTTTTCTTTGTAAGTTTTTTCTTCTTCTAGAGATAAGCGTGAACAGTTTATGAAAGTGTCTTTGAATTAACTTGGCTTGCGATACCTAAAACTGGTGGCCATCAGAGAATAGACTGCTTTGTATTAATTTGAAATCATTCTTCCGTTTCAGCACACGTCGCACTTCTGCGTCTTTTGGCATATTGCTAACGGTGTTTGAAGCAGATATGCGTCCATTCTACGAGATTGTTTTTAAAGTAAAGAGATAAAGTACCTTCGAGAGCTGATTTCTAATTCGAGTCGGGTTCGTTATATCGACATACTCTAATACTAGTGAAAAAAGTATAAATCCACAACAACTTTTCTCTCAGCTATGGGTTTATATATTATATTCTGTTTATACGTATTTTTATAGATGAAATCGATCGAGAAAAATCGTCGAATTTATAAGCAGTAGTTTTGACTTTGCTAACAGACGCTTCTCTGTAACTGAATGTTACACCACGTTAGATCAAAATATCAATATATATATATATATATATATATATATATATATATGTGTGTGTGTGTGTGTGTGTGTGTGTGTATATATATATATATATATATATATATATATATATATATATATATATACCGATATGTATCTCTCGAGGTGGTGTAATGGTTAGAGAGCTTGTCTCGCTAGAAAAATTACGACTGAGTAGTGAGTTAGATCCTCACTGGGTGCTCCCTACTTTCAACCTTGTGCCTAACTAAGCTATGCTTGTAAACTCACTATATGACAACCGATATTACATAGCAGTTCAGCAATCCATTAATGGAATCTTGTCAAGAAAGGTTATAAGTTATTTTTCTCTGTCCCTTTTGTCTTCGATTTATCTTGTGAGTATCAAACTTTCCCATCCCGCTTTCCTCATTATTTATCCTAGACATTTCAAATGTCTCTTCCTTATGCTAAGTTTAAGTGTCTCTTTTGATTCCATTTTCTCCAAAACTTCGTCGTTGTTTACGTGTTCTGTCCATGGCTTTCTCAGCATCCTTCCGTATAACTTCTGTTGCTTCAAATTTCTTTTTTATCCCTGAGGGAATCGTCCAGCATACACTGCCATATAGAAAGACTGATATTACATGAAATTTCAATACACTTTTCTTTGAGTCTAACGAAATTTCTTTGTTTCTTAATATTTTGCTTGGCTTTGAAAGGCATCTTTCCACAAACAGAAGTAGGTCTGATAAAGCTTTCTGTGTGTATGTGGGATTTTTCTCCTTCTTATAAAAAAAAACGTTATCATGTCAAAGCGTGCGAAATTGACTGCTTGACGCTTGTTGGAAAAATAAACAAAACTAAAACAATACTTTGTCTTCGTTCTGCCTCACGCATCCATTGTTACACTTTGATTTATATACTAAAAGCTCTTTTAAGTTTTTTTTCTCTCTATATTCTTCTCCTCAAAAGAACGACTATATTCTTCTTGCCTCACTTTTGTTAGAATGTCTTTCATAAAGGATTTCCCAAAGCGGCACACTTGAAAAAAAAACACAAACAAATAAAAAAAAACTAAAAAAAACTATAAAAAAAAACAAACCCAGAAAACTAAGTGTGGGTTTAGTAGTATGCACATCAAAACAGACGTGTCTTTTATTTTTTTATAGATTTTTATAGTGTGATTTTGACTTACTTTCAAATATCGGTAAACAGTATTCTTTTTAACGAGTTTATTTTAAGATTTCTCATTATCAATGAATGTTTGGGACGTGATAATTGTGTGCACTTAACAAATATACATACATATATATGATAGGATAAAGAAGAAATAGGAATCGTTTATCAATCGTTTGTTATCCGTCAAACGTAAATGATAGTAGTAATTTCCGAAAGACTTCAATGTAAAATAATAAAGTATTTAATTACCAAACGAATTTAAAATACATTAACAACAAAGAAGTAAATAGTCAACGGAAAGATTATTGATTACTTATCAGTTAATACACGATTGCGTAGAGCTGCTAAGAAAAGTATTAATTCGTCTTGAAAAACAGGACACTCGACTCTAACGTCCGGGTTAACACATCCATCCTTCAAATCTACAAATCAACCACTCGTTCTTGCATGGGATACTGCTGGCATATATGGTCTGGTTCCCCCGCTGTTCGTCTTGGGATCCTCGACAAAATTCAGAGACGGATAAGCAATGTGATGGGTCCTGATCTGGCATCTCGTCTCCAGTCACTTTCTCACGGACGTGCCGTGGCTTCCCTCTGTCTTTTCTATAAGTATTTTCACGGTAACTGCTCCGACGAGCTACTTTCGCCGCTTTTCGCTGGTTCCCAAACTGCATGAATTTAAGCGTGCTACTAGGTTAGCATCTCAGTCCCATCC